TTGGCTTTCTGGGCTGAAAGCGCACACTGCCGGCTCGTGTTGAGCTTCTCATCAACCAACACCCCCAAGTCCTTTTCCTCAGGGCTGCTCTCAATCCACTCTCAGCCCAGCCTGCACCTGTGCCTGGGGTTGCCTCGACCCACATGCAAGACCCTGCACCTGGCGCCGTTGAACTATAATGTACTATAGGTGTCCTAACGCTACAAGGCCATCAGGTTGGGTAAGGTTTACCTGGGTGTGTGCAGAGCAGTTGTTACTGAACACAGACATGCTCTAAACTCTGTCCTAGTTCACCCAATAGCTCCCAGGTTTGTGTTATGGCTCTATATTGTGTTGTTTTGTTCCTTCAGCAGGCTTTCTTCTAGCGTGCTTGTCCTTTCCTTCTTCCCCAAAACCCTGGCACAAATCTGGGCCATGTAAGTATCCAGGGGAAGAGATAGGAAGATGTTGAAACAGCTCTTCTGAATAATTTCTGTATTGGCTAGAAACAAGCGACTGTTTATATCAGATGCCTTGCTGAAACAGGGGCATGGCTGCTTAAAACTGATGTTGTGAAGATATGTGGATTTTTATGTTAGCTAGTTTTACCTGTCCATCCAATGTGGTGTGCCAAGATACCACAATTTCCTAGCTGTATGGGTGCTCTTCTAAAATATATAAGTATTGTTGCTGTTGCTTTGTTTCTCTTGCAGGAAAGGGATTTTGTTTTTAACATGGAACGCTTGACTGAGTTTTCACTAGGCTTTTAGTTTCAACGCTGTCTCATAGTAGGTGAGGTGCTGTATTTTGGACGTATTTGTAATGCTTCCCTTCAGTCTACAAACTACCAAGTCCCTGAGGTTGAGAAAGAATGCTAGTTCTTTGTGGACAAATGTAAATATATTTTTTTTCCTTCTCAGACAGATAATCAAGCATCAGGCGGAAATGTGGTGCATAACGAAACTACTTAGTTCGTGTTCTCCCTCATCTGCACACCTTAAGAGTTCCTGGGGCTGGTGGTGTGCAATCATTTCTGCTGCTACACTGGTGTTAGCTGTAGTAGCCCATTCTCCGCACTTCTGAGGTTGTGGCTTTTTTTCATGGGCAGCTTGAAGTTTCTCATGCTTCTTCAATAAAGAACAGCTTAACCTTTTCTTTTCTCTTTAGTTCAGACTTTTTTCTTGGTGGAGGATGGAAGGGGAGTGACACAAACATGGTGGTACTGCTAACATGCTAACTAAAAGCATCATTCATTGGTTGTTTTCCATTTGAATTGATGATTTAATGGGAGAAACGAGGTTAAATGCACATAACCTCAGGAGTATTGTGGATTTTGCTTTTCTTATCACTTTTGTCAAGCTTATTTGGCTTATTTACTGATGAAATTGGGAAAATGGATCACGTATTACTGAAATGACTTAGGATATCCTACAGTTAGGATCTGTACCATGGCATGCCTCAGTAAGAGGACCACTTAGATTTGCCTTGGTAGTTACAGGCTATCTTTTGGCAACACAGAAAGCTTTCTTTGACACAATCACAATTATTTTGTGGTGATCTCTTAGAATGGAAGAGTAATGGTTATAGCTTTTTTAAAGTCACTAGTAGGGCTTTGAAACTAGTACTTGTCATAGGGTAATTTGCCAGTCCAAATGACCGCTGTGTGTTAGTGGAGAGGAGGGCCATTCTTGTGGAGTCAGAAGTTAGAGTGGTTTGGGGTCTTTTCACCCCTTCTTCCCCAAAGGATCTTTGCATCAACTACTGATATCTGTTGGGTGTGGTGCAGACATACTCTAAGCAGATTTTCTTCTGTCTGCCTTTACCAGAAAATAGGGCTGGGGCGTGATCTCTGGCACTTTCCTGTTACTATACCTAGTGTTTAATTATTAGCCTGTTTCCTGGGTGTGATTCTGGTTAGTGACCTAAACCATTTAGCACTCTGCTAAACAACACAAGGGCTGGTGTCCCCAGCACCCCCAGTAGACCCCTTCCCTTCTGTGGAAGGAGAGAATTTAGTTGTAGGGCCATGAGCAGTGCCATGTCACTTTCCCTTAGAGCCAAGCAAGCAGTTCCAGTCATGTGTAGTGTAGTAGCATATGCATAGGCTAACTGCCCTAAAGACTTAGCGGGCTCAAAAAAACTTGTGGGCAAAATTTTTAGGGAGCTTGAATAAGCAGTAGTGAGACATGTGAAAACTCTGTGGGAGTTCTGTTAAATTTCCGTTAAGCATTTCAAAACTTGTTTAGGTCTTCATAATTGCTCCAGTGCTGCCTATGGGCTGCTTGTTCTCGTCATCTTTAGCCTATCTGGTCTCTGAAAACAGGTCTATTGATCATACACAGTCAGGTAGCAAGGGGCTCTACCACTTCAGTAAGTTTTGAACTTAGGTTCAAAAGTTAGGCTTTGCACATATATTTGCACCAAACTGCTTGTCAGTGGTGGTGACTGATAGCTGACTCAACATGGCAGTAGGTCCAGATTTCCCCCCACCCCTTGCCTGACCCACAAGCTCAAGGATTGATGCTTCAGCGTGCCCTAGAGCCTGCTGGTCCCTTAAACACAGACTGGTGGGAATCCTTTTGATCTCTTCCAATGCACAGTATGGAGACCAGAGCTCTGTGTTCTAGTGCAGCCCAAATGTTCATGCTGTGGCATTTATCCCTCCGTCACAAGCTGTGCTCACTGCAGGACAAAGGCTTTTTTAATCTGCAGTGCAAGACTTTTCTTTGCTGTAAATTCCTTTTATGAAAGTACATCAGATGGTAAGTGCTGCTGTTACCTGGGGAGAGTCACCTGGTTAATAGACCTGTTGCTGATGCTTAATATGTTAAAGCATGTAGGAAGAACAGTTTTATGCATTATGTCAAATGGTTCTAGCAGGTGATTAGCTAAGTGTTTCAGAAGGATCTGTATTTTTTCTGCAGAGTCAACACAGGGTCATTTCTTGTTTAGCCTTATTGAAGTTGAACCTCACTAAAAATGAATTCTTAATTCTCAGTTCCTTGATTTGCACCTGAATACAGTGTTAGCTGAGCAGTCTTCACCCTTGGTTTTGTTTTTGGCTTGTTTGGGCTTTTCTCTTCCCCGCTGCCTTTGCAGATCATATTCACTTCCACAATGATTTGCAGCCTGATTCACTCACTTTTTCCCAGTCTTGCTAGAGTAAAATCACAAAGTTTAATTAGTTTTATGGTAACTTCTTTTGTTAGACACATGGAACACTTGACCTTCCATAATTAACACTTGTCAGATATTCAGTATGTTCAGTATATTAATTATGTTTTCAGAATCAGAATAATTAACTTCATGTAGTGCTTCGTCATTTTTTGGTTTTTTTTGTTTTATTGGAAATCAGAAACAAAGAAAAGTGATCTTTTAAGTTAGCCTTGATTTGTTAGTGTTTTACAATACTTCAGATGGGACCAGTATGGAAATGGTGATGTATTGTTTTTAATACTGCACAAAGTATGTGGGGGTTATCGACCAGTAAACATATAAAGGACTGGTTTTTTAAAGTTTTGTAACTCTCTCCCCAGATTAACCTGAAAGACAGCTTGGGGAAACTCTCTCATATCCTGGAAATAGATCACTTTGCTCTAGTGGTTCATGAACAAATTCAATGTGAGTATGATGTACTCCCCCTTTTAAGAGGCAATCTTTGAGTGGTAATAAGCAAGTACAAGTGTGCATGTTTAAACAAGTTCTGAAGAAGCCAAATCCTCTTTCTGTGTATGTAACTACGTGCTACTAACACCTTGTAAGACATTAGCACTGTAATTCTTGTAGAGTAAATGTTAACTCCATTAATAACTCATAACTTACTGCTCACATCTGAATGCCTGGGTCTAGTCCAGTGTACCGTGGCTTTGTTAGTAGCAGTAAGCCAATGAAATAAGCTCTTGCAGTACAACTTGTCTTTGCTTCTTCCTACTCCTGTTGTACAGCTTCCAGTAGTTCCATCACAGTGAGCATCCCAGGTTAACTGCACTTCAATTTTTTGCCTTTCTAGAGCAAAAAGTTTATTACAACTTCATAAAGTTTAGTAAGATCTAGATGTCAACACTGACATGACCACCTCAAGGCAGCTTAGTATTTATTTTTCCTGTTTATTTCATTCAAACTAACTTACCTTCACTTGATGTTTTTCCTCCAGACTCTACTTTTCTTCATGCTTCTCAAAACTCTTTGTACTGCCTTCTTTATGAACAGGAAATTACTAAATATTACTGTTATATGTGAATATTTTTTCCTGTGTTATCTTCCTTATAGCAGGCAACTTGCAAAATTACAAGCACTGAGAAACTAGACTAAAAACAATATTAAAACTCAACAGAAAAATTTATCTGACAGCTATCTCAATTATAACTGTAAATGAAGAATAGTCATAAAATTTGGGCTTGTTCTGATAATCTCTATAAGGATGTGCTCTGTGCTAACTATTTATAAACCTAGAATATCACTGGAAGCTTGCAATGGAACAAAGACTGAGTAAATGAAAAGTCCAGCACAACCCAGCTGTCTGAACAAACTGAGTCTATAAATAGGCTAAACATCTCAATACAGCCAGACTTCAGGAACAGGGAACTTAGTCCATAGAGAAAGGGACAGAGGTCACTAGGTTCCCGGGTCAGAGGCGAATGCTCACAGTGAAAAATCCCTTGAACCTGGGCTCTCAATGCAGCAATGATTAGATGGTTAATAAGTTTTTTGGATATAAATGGGAAAATATTGTATTGTGGTTTTTTTACTAATTCTGTGTTTGACAGTGGTGGAGGAAGATGGTAGTGTTGCATGTCCTCCTCTAGTGGCCCCTGGTTCAAATGGGATAATATCAGTTTGCAGCTGTTTCACATAGAGCCACAGAAACTAATGTATGAGGAAAATAGGCTTTATAATAGAGGATTTGGTTTGAATTTTTATGTCAAGAAAAATAAATTTGATGGACCCTTATCCTTCCTTTCATAATGTTTCTGATTATACCTTTTGTTGCGGAGCCTTTCTGAAATTAAAATCCTTGCCCCTTCCTGTGTGACTAGTCAAGATGACATTTGGATTCCCCCTCAGTCTGCAAGGGCTATCAGTGATAACAAGCTCCACCAACAGGCCCTGACATGTGGAGCTGGGTTGGTTTGGCACCTGCCTCTACCAACACTGCCATTAAAACCAAGTGGGATGGTGTGGTTTTGTGCTTCCTAAAGCCAGAATCGTCTGTGTGTTTCTGTGTAGATCACTCTGATGGTTCCTCCAGTAAGCGGCAAATGGTGTTTGGCATCGTTACAGCCATTGACCTGCTTAACTTTGTGACTGCACGAGAACGGGAAAGAAAGTCCAGCTAAAGTCAAGTAGCAACGTGGAGCCTCTTCAACATTTTGCAATCTCCAACAAAGAATCAGGTTTATTTCTTAGGTAGAATGGTCTGTCCTTAAGGTGTGGTGTTTTTTTTTTTTTTTTTTAATTCTGAAAATAAGCAGTTAGCTATCCTGGTGTCAGCTGTACAGCCAGTGCATTTTGCTGTATTGCACAGCTTCTGGGGACTTGTTTCTTAATCAGGTTACACAGTATTTCTTATCAAGACAATTTATTTTTTTACCTATATATAGATGTAAATTGACTGGTATGTTCCTTACTTGTTATGTCTAAAGTCTGACTTTCCAAAACATCGTTTCAGATTTCTAAAATGTGTTGAAATAAAGAGTTACTGAAGCAGGGACACAAGAGAGCTCTGGAAAGCTTTGCTGCTTTGCTTCTTTTTTTTTTTTTTTCCTGCAGGGGTGTTATGTTAGATAACACCTGTGTGGAGACAGAAATGGGACTGGGGCACAGGGAGAAGAAAGGGGGGGGGTTCACTTTTGGTGATGTCAGTGTAAAACAGGAGGAAGTCTTGAAGGCTGGAGCTGAGGCTTGTTTAAACCAGCTGCTCTTAGGAAAAACCAACTTGGGTGGAAGCTTGACAGTGAAGTGACAAAGTGACTTTGTTTTACACAGTGCACCAGCCTTCACAGCACAGACCTTTCTTTTTTCCAGTTGCACCTGATAAGTAAGCACAAGTGAAAAGATTAAAAGGTAAGATCAAGCTTCTTGCCTGAAGGTTTTTGAAAATCACACTGTTTCATCTAGTATCTTCCCCTTACCTTCACACCCTCTTATTTATCTTAGTGTTTCTTTTTATGCCTGTTTTAAAAGAGCCAAAGGTAATCTGTTGAGAGCTGTAAACTCTTTCAAGTCCTGTTCAAGTGCTCCTACACCATAGCACCTTATTCCAGGAGAAAAATCCTACTGTTAATTGAATTCACTGTAGCCAAGTTTGGAAGTAACTGGCGAACATGTTGTGGACTGGTACTGTCAAGAGTACACAAGAGTAATGTACACTAGGTGTGTGCAGCTACAACCTTTCACCACTTCTATAACTTTGGATTTTTCAGTAATGTTTGACTTGTGTAGCTGTGGCAGGGGTTAGCACTGGCAGCCCCACCCGTACACTGCTGTGCTACTGACTGCTGTTAGTGGTAACGATGAGTGGAATCACCCACCCTGTGGTTACAGGAGAAAAGTAGCTGTTCTTCATCTTCATAATGACTGCTCTAATCATCTTCTGACTGGCCTTTTGCCAAGAATATGGTTTTTGATCAGCAAGAGTGACACTTTTCGTAGCTTGTCTCTCTTCCCACTGAAGTATAAAAATTCTATTTAGTCTGGCGCTGTTGCTGTTAGGATGGCAAAGTTGTTGGTTTTTTTTTTTTTTCTTAAGAAAAGAGCTGAAGGGAGTTGTGAGTCAGCTACGAGAAAAGAAAGGGATTATTTAAAAATCACAATTACTACCTCCTCAATATAGATTTATTTGTACCTTGCTGGCCTCCCTGTGGCAGTGGGATTTGCTGTACATTTTGAAAGTGCATGCTCGGAGAGAGGTGGTGGAAGCCGCCCTGTCCCACATCAGTGCTGAGTGAAGGACATCAAGCAGAGCCTTTGTGCTTGTGCCTTGTGTGATGCTGGAGGAGGGAGGCAAGCCAAAGGGAAGAAAAAACTCAAAGCCAAAGAAGTGACACCAGTGACAGAGTCTGCCTGCCAGCAGTGTGGCAGCCTGGTTTGTTTTCTAGCTGCTTCTCTCTCACCTTAAATTTTTGAATGTTAAGAACTTCATTGCAATAATAAAAAGCCTTATGCTGATTTCTGATAACTCTTTAATGCCATGCTGGTGAATGCTAAGTTTATTGTGCCCTGTTCAGTTTATGTCTTTAGGCATTGGCTGTCCCTTCAGATTGGGGCTATTACTGAAGTAACATTACCCATACTTACCTTAAACTATGGCTTAGCCATTAAACTCATGTACTTCTTTAAGATTTAAGACAACTTTTCCCAAGGCTCTGGAATAAACTACTATAAAGTCTAAAAATGTGCAACTTCAATAATAATTGGTTGTAAAAGATGGCTGTTTTTTTAAACTTTTTTTTACCCTTATGCTGTGCACTGATTTCTTTCTCGCTGTTCCCCCTCATTGTAGTAGCAACCCCAGTTTCAGTGCTTTGACTAGTGAAAAGTTGAACTAGTGTGAGTATGAGATATGTGTACCTGTGTGTTAAAGACACTGTTTTCAAATCTGTGTTAGCTTTTCTAGGCTGAATAGCTCTATCTTCCCTCTGTTTCTGCTTGGCAGAGCCTAATAACTCATCTTTCAGGCTTTATTTTTTGGATGCTTCCCAAGGGGTCATAAATAACTTAGAGTGGTTAGGGGCACGGTTTTTGATCTTGGCACTTGTAACATCCTTTATGTTTCTCAGGGCAGAGAGAATCTGTGAATTGTCAGTTGTATCCCTTGAGATTAGTATTTCAGGCAAGCTTCTGAACTCATTTCCCAATTATTTCAAATACAGTTGTCAGATATATTTTCATATATATTATTAATTTACAGGAAAGGCTCAGAAGGACTTAAGGCTTTGATTACTTGTCTTTTCACTGTATCCTTTGATTCCCTCTTGTGAAAGAGCCTGTGTACTTCACTGGATACTGTTAGCTTAAGTGTTTGCTGCAATTGTAGCTGTCATTGCTGCTAGATTTTGGCATTACTGTTGCTCTTGAAAATTTACCCTACTTGCTTTCATCTGATTTTTTTTTTCACCATTTTCTATCTGACCTTCACTGATAGGGGTGGAGAGGTGGGTGCTTAAGTATCTGAGTGTTTTTTCTTTTTGTGCCTGTAAAAACTCAAGTTAGAGTTGAGACAGCAGAAGATTAATGGGTAGCTTTACTTGTGACACAGAAAAGTAGAAAGATTTTAATTTGCTTTTTTAGTTTACAAATTTAGTTTATAAATTAATCTCTGTAGCATCATTAAAATAGGCAGTATTGCTGACTAAAAAGAAGGGCTGGTGAGAGCTGGTAGGGAAGGGGGGATGTGAGTTTAAAGCAATCCAAGTAAGCCAAAGTATCCAAGAAATCCACCTGTGCCACTCTGCCTGTGTGGTGTGTTAAGAGCAGGAGCTGTCTCCTGTTCTGCACTGGCACAAGGAGGAAATGGTAGCCACTGGTCACTCTTATTCACGGTAGCAACCCTGTTTGACCAGAGGAATTGGGTAAATAAATGGAGTTGCTGAATGACTGAAAAACTTTCCAGAGCTCTTTCCTGTAGTAGGGATGAAGGCAGCAAAGAGGAGGGGACAGGGAATCCTGCAAAGTTGGATTTTTTTTCCTCTGATGCAAAAGCTTATGAGCGTGATGATTTTTTTGCATGTGTGAGAATGTTGTTACTAGCCTGGTCCTGGTTAGTAGTGGTAGGGCTTGATTAAGCTGGACTCCTCTCTTTGTTTCAAATACAGTGAGGACCAAGAAAGACATTGCTGTTTGTTCGGTCTTTAACATGAAGTTCAAGTCCAGAGCTTGAACAGAACGGTGTTTTTTGTCTGCAGTGGGTGCCTGCATCTTCTGTTTACCTGTGCTGGTTAAGCAAGTGCTGACTAAGCCTGAAAACAATTTTGCACATGGATAATTATATCAACAGTTTATACTTATTTGTGTGTCACTGTAAGAAAATATCCGTCCTTTTGGTCTAATGTTGGCTCTGCGAAAATACTTTTATTTTCTCACTGGAAGACAATTATCCAGGGAAATCTGTATAATATTTTGCAAGCAGTTATCAGGCAATGACTTAAGGATCATTTTGAAGTTGTCGTATCCAGTATTACTTCCCCCTTCTTCCACAAGCTGTGGCTGACTCCAGAACTCTGTCTCTGTTCCTCTAAGCAGCCAGACTAGTCTCATCTACCCGCCAAGCTCATCACTAAATGGTTTCTGTAAACTTCTGCTTGATTTATGAATTTCACACAACATGCTCACTGTTAGGTGTTGCCTAGCATTGCCAACTGTCATGCAACAGCATTTCTTACTGCGTAGTGTCAACACGCTACTATGACAAAGGGAAAACTTCTTATGCTTTAAGGAACTAGGAAAGATCAATACTCTGTGCTGTGTTTATTGCACAAATGTTCATAAATGTACTACATAAAGAGTTCAATAAAAGCTGTTTGCAGAATGACTCTGGGTTTTTTAATGGCAGTTCATGCTGGAAGTGTGTTAGACTGTAGACTCTGAGAACTTTCTATGGGCTGCAGAAGGCCTCTCGCTTTCTGTGTGTGGTCTTCAAGACTCTTCAGTTCTCTTCTTCTGTCTCCAAAGAGCTGCTGCTATGGCAGAATTGCTGGTGAGCCAGCCTCCTGTCTGCTTCTCATGGCTGGCTTTAGTACAGTCCTGGTGCTCCTGTACAGGGGTGGAAAGGAAGGATGTAGAGCTAGGGCTCAGATGCCACTGGTGAAGTTCCTACAGCAACAGTTGCGTGTGCAGTCAATTAGGTAGATATTGCTGAATAAATGCAAGGGGTATGGGCCAGGCTCTGTGAGACAGTGTGGGGAAAATAACAGAAGATGGGTGAGGAGGATTGTAAACATGCTCAAGTGACTTGAAGCTGGGGTGTAGAAAAACACATATATCACACTAATTGTTGTTTAGTCTTGTGTGCTTGACAAGTAGAAGAACTGTGTTTAGATAACATAGGCCTGTGATAGACCTAGAGGCACCCTATTGAACATCCTTGAGATTCTTGCCCTGCTCTGGGAAAGATCAAAGCACAGTGGTAAAGTACATTTGCATGAATCCCCAATACACAAGTGCAAACAGCAGGTTTGGTGATCGTCTACTGAGGGCTGAGCAGCGCGGTGCCTGTGTTCCTGTGTGTGTGCCTCTGCCTGGGTGCTGCTTCAGGGATCCCCCAGTGTGCGAGGTAACAAAAATAAATTTACTCTTTGCATTTCATCTGTGGTTTTGTGGTTGCTCCTGTGTCCTGCCTGTGTCGGCTCAC